AATTATATTTATATTATTAATTTAGAAAATTTAAATCATTAATTATTTCTAAATAATAAAATTTAATAATATATTAATTTGTAATGGTTTATTATATTATAAAATAAAATAATTTGTAATATTATAATAATAAATGATTTGTAATAATTGTAATATAATTATAATAATAAAATAAATTGAAAAAATAATTAATTTAATAATTTTGAAATATATTGTTAGTATAAAAATTATATATTTTAGTATAATTACTTATTAATATTTATATATTGTAAATTAAGCTTTTTTATGACACACCATTACCAATATATTAACTTATGTATCAGCTGGATATATAATATATTGCAGATAAGATAAATACATTAGCACTATTATAAATAATAATAGATTACTGACGATAAAATAAAGAAATATAATAATAATATAATAAATAAAGACAGTAAACAAGAGAGTTAATAATTAATAAAAACAAGTAGTAAAGAATAATAAAGACAGTTAGTAAGTATAATAGTCTGTTAATAAAAAATATTAATAAACTACTTTAAAGTGAAACCTATATCTAAAAAGATAATTAAAAGGCCATATAAGTTTATAATACTATTATTAAGGACAAAAAGCCCAACTGATGAGATAATTCAAGAAACTAAAGATAGATAACCCTCTAGTCCATCTGTAATATTATGTAAGTGCTGTTTCAAGTTAGTGACAAACTTACTATTTTGCTATAGCAGTATATAAATATTAAAATTTTTTTATATTATTATTTTTTTTAATATTATATATAAGTATTAAATATAAAATATTTATTAAACTTTAATTTATTGTTATTATATTAAAAATCCTATATTAATTATTTATAGGAGATAATTTTAATATATTATATATAGAATATTAGAATATTAAGTAGATAAAAACAAACTATCAGTGACTTATAAATAGTTAATACCTATATATAAACAACTAAGTTATTGTAATTATTTATAAAAAAAATTTTTAAGTTTAAAAAATTTTTTTAAATAAAAAATATAATTATTGAAATTAGTAAAATAAAAAATAATTAATCTAAATTTGATTTTGCTATTTAAATTCATAAATCTATAAAAACAACTTCAATTTATTATATTAATAATAAGATTTTGATATTGTTACTTGAATTTATAAAACTATATAACAACTGTTTAAAAGCTAAATAAGATATATAAAAAGTTAGTATTTTTATATAACTATAATATTATTATTAAAAATAACTTGATTGAAAAAAATTTTAAAAAAATTTTATTATATATTATTGTTATTATTATTATAAACAGGTTTATATCAGTTTAGTTTTATGGAATTGAAGTATTGAAATTTAATTAGATATTAAATTTGTATTGACCATTTGAAAAAATAAAATTAATTTTGATTTTTTATATTGAAAAAAATTTTATAGATTTTGAAATTGTACAGTATTATATATTATTAAGAAAGTAATTAAAAAGGTTTTATTAAAATAAATAAAATATTTAGTAATTTTGCTTAAATATAACTTTAGGAATAATTTGTAATATTAAGAATAAAAATATGAAAATAATATTGATAATTTTTAAAAGGAGAAAATATAAAAACAAAATTAAGAAAAAAAAGTATTATTAATTTTTTTTATATAATCAAAAAATAAACAAATTCTCAAACTTATTTGATTTTTAATTAAAGATCCTATCTCAATATAATAATGATTCTTAAAGTTTTTATATCTATAAGTTTATAGTATAGTTGATATATAGAAAAAAGAATAAAAAGTAATTCTTTAAAAAAAATTTTATTAAAAGAAATTTTTAAATAATTAGTTATTTATTTATTTATTTTTTGTAGAACAATATTATATGCAAGGATTTTATTGAATATTTATCAATTTTTATACATACATCAAACATCCTCTATTGTGTTACAATAGCTAAATGCTAGCCTATCTACTTATTTCCCTATCGATACTAATGACACTCATGAAATGGGTTCATATTTTTGGAGAAAACCTATTTAAGGGATGGAAATCCTATCACTAGTTAAATTACCTAATCTATTGGTTCAATTTTTGTATAAAGGCAATGAATACTGCTAACCATTTTCTAAGGTTGCTTATTATATCATACCTTTTCACTTACACGTTATATGGTAAAGGGGCCAACAATGTGATACATATACTTCCTAGTGAATGCTTTAGTTTGATCCGCTGGTTGGTACTTGCTATTAAATCTAGGGGCTCTTGTGACCAAGTGGGGCATGACTCCTAAGAACCATACAGGCCATGCAACGCAAGCTCCCAAAGTTATTTATCTCCTAGTAGACATTTCAGTTCAGAACTGGTTGGTGTTGACTGTCAAATTTAAGGGCATAAATGCCAAGCAGGGCACAACTCCTATATGCATAAACCATCCAGGGAGATCCATGTCACACATGACATTAGTGTCAATTCAGTACTTTTCTTTAAAGCTTCCTTATTTGTCAGTTAACAGGAAAGGAAAGTATTATGCGAGTTTGATAAGATGGAGTACAATCCAATCTATATATCCAAATGAGTGATTGTTTTTGATAATTGGTAAGGGTTGATTAAGATGGAGTACAGTCCAGTCTATATATCCAAATAAGTGGTAACACTTTCCATTAGATGATTATCATAATACCAACCATATGATCATTACACTACATCACCTTTTCTGAAAATTGCAATCTTAACGTCTGCCAGATCGGCATGTGAATTGGCTTCTTATAAGAAATAGTACATAATTGGTTATGGTGCCAGATACCATATTAATTCTATTCTTCACTTTCACATGGAATTGAACTGATATCTTGTGATCTAACCTGTAGAGCACTAATCACTGTGTTATGGATCCACAGGTCATAATTTGTAATAATTTGCTATATTATAATATATTAATTTATAATAATTTGCTATATTATAATATATTAATTTATAATAATTTGTTATATTAAAATATAATAATTTATAATAATTTGCTATATTATAATATATTGATTTGTAATAATTTATTATATTAAAATTTGTTAATTATAATATTAATTTATAATGATTTATACTATAATATTATAATTTATTTTATTTTATTTTATTTTTTATAGTAGAATGAACTTAGATGCTAATTATTTTTATTGATATGAAATCATTGATTATATATTATATATCTTTTATAATATTAGATTATAGTTAATGCTAATCTACTCTACTTCTTAACTTTAACTTATAAACTTACACTCAAGGTAGACTTATTTATGTTATAGTGGGACTAATCAGGAGGTGGAAATTTTGTTATCAGTTTTAAACCATCCAATCTATTAATTTGTTTTTATTAAAAGGTGAATTTACCTTATAGAGGTAAATAGGACAATTGGATATCTCAATACTTTTTTATCTTGAATCTTTAAGAAGGTAGTACATTCAGTTGGTTTAAGATTAGGAAGTTCTTTTTTTATATGGCTTGTATTGTTATTCAGTAAGATACCTTTCATATTACATCTTTGGCTTACCAGCCTTTGGGATCAAAGAGCATCAGGAAATATATACTTCCTAATAAATGCTTCATACTTTTTTTTAATTAATATATATTATCAAATCTAGAGGTATGAATATTAAGTAAAGCACAACTCCTATTATCTTCTAGTAGATATTCCAAGAAAAGAATTAACAGTTGGCTTTGGTTATCAAATTTAAGGCATAAATGTCAAACAGGATGCTATTTCTATAAAGGAATCCTCTTTGACTAGCTATAATCTATCTAGAAATAATATCTTATTGATGATCTCTTTCAAGTTGACTTACTTCCTAACAATACAAGGTATAGTGAGCTTTTATTAAAGTTAAACCAAAAGTCTTTCCTCATGCAACCTTTCCTGATTTGACCTGTTTTTAGCCCGCAATCGTCAGAAAGACCAGAGGTTCCATTTTCATGTAGCCTAACTGAATTTGATCAGGGCCAGATGTTTGGGTATAACATTTATAAAAACCTGATGAAACCCATAAATAAAAATGAATTTTATATGTGTTTTGCCTCCTGTAGGTATTGAATTAGGGACATGCATTTGGAAACCAGAGAGTACTACCCACTGTGCTATTGATCCACTGGTTTATAATATTATAATATATTAATTATTTTAATAATTTGCTATATTATAATTTATTTTATTATTAATTTATTTGATTTTAAAATATATATACAATATTAAAATAATAATTAAAATTTAATAATATTTAATATAATAAATTTATTTATTATTTATTATTTATATATCATTATATTGTTTAAAATTATTAAAAACTATTATATTTATTTATATAAAAATAATTTGTCAATACAATATTATCATATAATCACAAATATACAGTATATAAATATATATTTCATATTAAGTTTTTATTTGTTATGGTTATTATAATTGCATATCAATTATCTTACAGTTGAACTCATTAAATCATAGTTTGCATTTTATATATTTTTTGAGCTTACTATCATTTCAAGATTTTATTAAGAAATAATGAAATGGACAGATGCACAAATATATACTCTAATTGATGAATGAAGGAACAGAAATATGAGTACCATAACCTTGGAAGAAGTCGAAATGAATTTTGGAATAGTATTGTGAATAGAATTAATCAAGAACATAATACTGTTTCAACACATTGTCAATAGTATCAAGCATGCATTCGAGATCAAATACAAGGAATTCAGCCATTCTCCAATGTAATTAATGATTATTTCAGTAGAACATACCTGACCTTGTATGCTAAAATGAAGAAACTTGATCTTGGACCTAATGTCCCTAAATTCTTTGGAGCATTTTCCCTCTGCGTCCATCAATTTTAATACTATCTGTCAATTTCATCGAGATATGAAAGACTATTGCAATACACTCTGCATTGTCTGCCTCTTGAAATATTCAAAGGCAGAGAATTAACTTTTCCCAAGTTAAAGTTAGCCATTAATGCTAAGCAAGGACAAGCGATGGCTTTTCGCTCATTCTTTTTAATCCATGGAAACCTTCTAGTCATCACTGGGGCTCGTCATAGTATTGTATTTTATATATACAACACCGTGATCAAACAAAAGCTGATGTTTGGTTCTATTTTCATTGAACACGATTTAGAAGGGGGTGATAACGGACACAAATCACCAGTAAAATACCTCCCCAAAGCTCAGTCAACAAAAATCATTATAAAAATTAGTGCGAGCAAGCCTTCGGCTAAAAAATTCAAGACGTAGTCATCTGGGTTAAGTGTATAGGATATTTTGACTTTATGACGTTAGTCATCCTCAATGGTAATACGTTTTTTATTCGATTTCATCTACACATTTTGTGTTAAAGATTTGGAACCTGCGAGACAACGCAATATAAGAAATAACACTTCCTGACGAGTTGTAGTGAAAAAATAGAAAGACTTAGCAGTTATTAAATATTTCGTCACGAGTTGTATCAGTTTTTAAATGTAAATACAGTATATCAATGATGATCATGGAATAAATAAAGATTCTCGTTTATAAATACATCAATCACTCTCACGAGTATATTATGGTTGAATTCGTGGACACAGTTGGTTCGCTTTTTATTCTTTTCTTTTGATGCAAACCTATCTCTTTCTGCAAATCCAATGGCGTATCAAACCTTAACCGAATCGCTGGAGAATCATCTTCTGGCCTACTGAGATCAAATACAACAAACTCACCTTTACGGAGAGGTAGCTGTTAATAACCATTGATGCATTTTTTACATCGTCGAATGGAAAACGGAACCATTAGCGTGTCCGAAGCACGTGATCTTTTGGATTGTATAACTAAATTTTGATTGGATTGCGTAACATAAATGTTCCGATCCGATTTTTTTTTTCTGCTTTGGATGGCTTTACAGTTAAGTAATTTTTACTTGCTAGAGTAAAGGTGGACTTGAGAAGTCGTACTCGTCAGGTTACGGATGTTCCCAAGTTATTTAACATCAACAACAACTTATCAATCTGAACAGTTCATTATCGACCTATCGTGCTTGATACGAACTGTTCTAGGCTGAGTTGTTGATGATCTATCGTGCTCTGATGTTGACCACCCTTTACTGATAGTCATTATCACATCACAACAACTTATCAATCTGAACAGTTCATTATCGACCTATCGTGCTTGATACGAACTGTTCTAGGCTAAGTTGTTGATGACCTATCATGCTCGATGTGTTCATAAACACCGTCTGATAGTTACATTAGTTTGTAGAACAATTGTTAATTATCTTTTTTTATAAATCCAAGAAAGAGGCAAATAGCGATGAGGTAACGGACTTTTGGAAAGGCATTGAAAGTGACAGAAATGTCAAGGAATATGGAACTGCTCTCGAAAATTTGGATGTAAGTATTTGCTTCTCAATTCTTTTCGGCTCTCGTTTCAAAATAAATAATATCTGATATCTCTCAGATGTTATTCACTGTGGAGCGTACATTGGAACATAACGATTATATAAATGAAGTGGGACAACGGCGCAGACAGGTTATGAAACGTACTTCCGAAAATTACCAAGAAGAAAAATTCATTGACTCAAATCAATCCAATAAAAACAATTATTCTTTGAGAAAAAAACCACGTGTAAATTATAATGAGGAAGAAACTTCGCCGTCACCACGCCAACCTGCAGATAACCTCCCATTTGATAACATTCATGAATCTGACGATTCGGATACCGGAATTGAATCTAATTGCCCAGCAATAATCAACGACGTTATGGAACTGCAATTGGGACCATTACCCCGAAAAGAGTCCAGATGGCTCGTAAATGACATGGATGTCTCTGAAAAGTGGCATCTCTTCAAGGAAGAGTCATTGAAATTAGCAAAGAGGGAAGGTCTTTTCGTGGAAAGCCACACCCAGCAGATATTGTATGCTTAATTTTTTCATTTGCTAGGTTACTGTAGAAACCAATTATAATTATCTTAATCTTAACTGTGTATAGATCCTTATCGCACATTCTATTATTAAAGTCTAAACAACATTGCCCTAGTATAGTGGAGGTTTTTGGTGATGAGTTACTAGAAATTATGCATAACGATATTTTACAAAGACTTACTAACCAAAAACGGAATTTGATGAGGAAACATTAGTGAAACTTGTCCGGATTGTAAAGGTATAATATCTTTACACTTATTTGATGTGAAAAAATTCTTTATGTACTCATTCTTGCTACAGCGCCTACAACGAAAAGAAATCACGAGAGATGATGCTGTTTCAGAACTGCAAGTTCTGGCATTTGGCCGTTCTTATGGAGAACGTGCAATTTTGAAGGCCATAAGAAACATGTAAGATTGTAACAAATTATGGAGCAAGGAGATTTTTTACAGTATCCAATGCTAAACACCTTTTATTTCTAATTATTAGTATTGAAAGCGTTCCAAGAGTAACATTAAAAAGCCCTGTCGGTGAGGTGGAATTATGTACTAGTTATATCGATACAATTCTCTGCCCAATATTTTCGGATCCTGATAGTGGTGATGGTAAGCTCTTTAACTTGATAATATAATATTTTCATATATACATTTTCTAATCAACAGGGTTACAGGTCGAATAAACAGGCAGAAGAGTCAAAGGCCAGAAAGTATAAGGGTAGAGCCAAACAACCAGATGTCATCATTAATGAGATAAATCAGTTATCTTGGGGTCTAAGTAAAGGACATGGTGAAGCAAAAGTTCAAGAAGAGGAGAATAACCTTTACCTCTTTGCACTGATCTCATCCGGGTGGCTGTGTTTAACAAAGATGCGATCGACTTTTATAACATGAATTGTATGCTCGGATTTCAGGTTGTTGGTAAGTTTCCAACAGTAACTTTTTTTTCGGATCTTACATTGCTGAATAAGTGCTCTGTAATCAATAGGACAACATATCACATTCTATCTCACTACGCTTTTGTGTGACGCCTTATATGTTATGGTGGAAGTTGGTCATATTGATGTGACTATGTCACTTGAACAGGTTCCTGCCTTCCTCACTAGCCTTGATACACTTCTCATCATATCTGATGCGTTTTGGGCTAATTGTATTGTGTCTACTGAAAAGAAAGAACCAAGCAGGCGCAGTACTCTTGCAACACCAAGCTTTAGAGAAATGGTTTCAAAGAGTCGGGATCGACATCGACCTTGTCAATTACGGTTTTAATTATTATTTATAATGCTAAGATTTTCCGTTATTTTGTATTATGTAATTGAACCGTAATTATATTCGTATTTGTTTAATAAAGAGATGGTAAAATAAGATGCGGAAATGGAGATTAGGCAGATTGACAATTCAAGATGATAATATATGAAAAAAACATCATAATGGATCTTAACGTATTACAAAATAAATGTCATATTTAACATATAAATTGCGATAATTGATTAGAAAAATAATGCATATATGTAACAATCATAGAGCATTTAAAGTTCGAGTTTATTCAATGAGACCCAACTCGCGAAGGTACTCTGGAATAACTATATATGGGTCTTCATAGTACCAAACATATCTTAAAAACGATCCAGTTTTCTTCGCATAATTCCACCTTGAGTTGATCCCGTTGCTGTTTGATAAAATTATTGGGATTTTTCTTATGAAAGAATTCGTGATATTTTGCATGTTGTTCTCCTTGTACTTCAATTGCGAAACCATAATTATAGTAGGGAATATCAAGTTCTAATCCGTTTGGATGCTCTGGTGTTCTTAAGAAATCGGGCCAACGATTTTCTGAAGGTGGTCCAAGATATTTTGTTACAATTCTACGACATAAATTTTCACGTTTATAAAAACGGCGAAATGGACACCAAGGGTTACTATTTTTAATGTTTTTAAGTGTTGAATACCATTCATGACCTTTAGCACATTTCCATAGTAAAGGTGAACGAATATTAACAAATACCTCAAAGACATTCCCCATTTATGCTATGAGCTATATGCTTAGCTTCTTCAAGAGTAAGACGTCTTGTACCCACACAATATGGGCACCAACTATTACAATGTTTTATACTTGTAAGACTAACACTCCATTTATGCACCTTAGCACGTTTCCACAATAAAGGTGAACGAATATTAATGAATATCTCAGAAAGACACTCACCATTCCTACTATGTGCAATTTGTTTAGCTTCTTCAAGAGTAAGAGGTCTAGTATGTGCGCAATTTGGACACCAAGTATTACAATATTTTACGTTTCTAAGTGCTGAATACCATTCATGTCCTTCAGCGCATCTCCATCATAGTGGTAATATACTATTAATATATTTTTCTGAAAGGCATTCTCCATTTTTATTATTCGCAACACGTTTAGCATCATCAAGAGTGTAAGATTTACTTTTTGAGCAATGCGGACACCATTTTTTAGCATTTTTGATTCTATGAAAGGGGGCCATCCATTCATGACCTTTAGCGCATTTCCACAATAAAGATGTATTGCAGTTAATATAGCTGTCTGAAAGACATAAGCCATTTCGTTCCATAGCAATTTTACAAGCATCTTTTATAGAATATTTGATTTTCATTTTATACTTAATCAGAAATGTTTAAAACAGTATCCCAACCCAGTCTAACTGCTAGAGGATCGTCTACCGCCTTAGTAAAATCAAAAACCACGAATTCACGATCCCGCAAATGCCTATCAATAATCTTGGATGCCTTTTTTGGATCATCTGTATATTGACGTACGATTCTACTAATATCGTCTCTACTAATATCGTCTCTACTATCCGATCCCCGAAATAGGCATAAATGTGAGATATTTTCGCGGATAATTTTAGGAGTTTGGGTATATTTCTGGCTTACATATATGGGTGAGACATTTTGATGCCGGCCACTAATGAAGTAAGGAATAATTCGTTCTTGCACTTTTTTGGGTTCGGCACATAGATCCTCAAAACAATAACTGTACTTCGTTCCGGAGAGAATTTAGTTATATCTGGAATCTTATCTGGTAATATCCATTTAAATGTGACATCCTCTCGATATCCAAGTTCAAATAGATAGTCTCGGTTACCCGATCCACATACCCCGCAATCGATCACTTTTCCTTTCTAATTCCCATGTGCGTCCCAATACCACGAACCATATAACTGCGATAATCAACAAAGTAAGAACAATATATGCCGATAGAGGTGACATCAAACTACTTGCTATGACAGGAATCGTCCCTACCCCCCTATCGGAATTTGAGAAAGCAATTCAATCAAAGAGGAATTGTGATTTTCCCGCTGTGCAAGGTAGGGTCACGTTCTGTATCTCTTGAACTGATAATATATCTTTACTAATTTCGCTAATGCTAGTTTCATTACTTACCTTGGAGTTGGCCTTGGTATTATTTTTTTGATTGTTCGATAATCTTATTATTAGTATATGTCGAGATATCATTATCGATTTTTTCAGTTTGATCCATACTTTTTCCGCATACAAAATACTTATTTAGATTTTTGCTAGATTCATTAGACATGTAAGTGTTATGATTCAAAGAATCACCTAGACCTGAAGGGTCATTGCTCTGCAATAATGGCCTGCTTTGCAATACTGCAGATACTGTATATTATCAGTCTTAGTAATATTTTTTTCGTCATTCCTACCAACTATGGGTTTCGATATAGCCTCCGATTTCAGATTCTCGAGCTCACTAACTGTTGAAGCTAACTTTTGTTCTAATTCAGCTATTTTGGATTTGAGAGATACAATCTCAGTTTCTTTTTTTGATGAGTCGCTTTGAATCAAAATCACATTTTTCTGGGCTGAAGACAACTTACCTTCCAATATCTTGATCATTGACTCGAGTGATTTGATTTCTTAGATTTCATAATATTCCCAGCCTTAGATTCAGCAATAAAAATATCCTTTTGTGCATTATGAGAAATAAGATTAGTATTTTCATTTTGTATTTGCTTATGCTCATTAATAACCTGCAAAGCATGGATGTATAACTTTTGAATCTTGGTATTATTTCGTAATGAATTCTGATTTCACCCCTTTCTTTCTTGATCAAACGCCTTCATTTGCTTTATATATTTATCCTGCAATTTCTCACTAAACTTATTAATTTTGACTTTGGACTTGATAGCATCATGTATTTTTTTTTCTAGCTTTTTTTTACATATACTATCAAGTCGATGACTTTTAATATTTTGTAATGTATGTATATTAGCCAACATATTAACACCTATTATGGAATAATGTCACTTTGTGTCTGTGCTTGTTCTGCCAAATAATAGATAATATATAAAAAATGAATAAAACACAAAAAGTAAAATACATCTCCAGTAAATATTATTTTTTATATATCTGTATATTTTTAAATATAATAAAACATTTCGAAACATTTCAAAACATTCTAAGATATTCCAGAATATTTGTATATTTTTCATTATGTATCAACTACTATATGTACAGTATAACTAATATTCCAAAACATTTCAAAACATTTCGAAACATTTCGAAACATTTTTTTATATATGATAATAAAAATATTTCTGTAAAGTAGAACACTTACGTGGCTGATATGGAATGTATCCATAAAAATATTATAGTACTAATGCAACATTTCTTTCAGATGAGGTGATTCAAGAAATTAAAGGATCAATAGGTATAGTACCTAATGCAATAAATACAATAGCAAAAAAACATCACATATCCTACTCTCGTGTTATTGATTATATAGAAAATTGAGAATGCTGATAACAAATAAACTCTTGATTACGAATTGAAAGTAAGGTTTTATTGCAGAGCAAGTCCTTAGATGATGAATCAGAGATGAGTCAAAGACTCGAAGCTTAGTTTTCTCAAGACTTTGTCTCTTCTTTAAATTATAATTCTCTGAATCTACAATTGGAATCTACTACTCTTAATACAGAAACAAAAAAGAGAAGATTCAAATCTCAGACTAAATCTGTATTATATAATAATGAGCTCCACTCTCATATATTTGATTCAACACCTACTAATAACTCTATAGAAAAAATAAGTAGTGAGGGGAATCAGAGATTCGATGCTTTGCATCATCTGGATGCATTATATAAAAAAGAAGCCAGAAGAGATGAAAAAATAAAGCAAATATAACTCACCTATTAGCTATTACTTAATCTATCTTTTTTTTATTTACACTATCATCTCTAGAGGAGATATATTCAAGTAATTTTTTATAATGTATTTGTAACTTTTCACAAAGATCATTTATTTCAGCCTTAAACTGGAGAATAGTATATAGTGATTTTTCTAACTTCTTATAGCTTATGCATTTTTTTTAATAATAGATTATCAGAATTTAGGAGCAGAGCTTTATTGTTTTGCAATAAACTAAAGTCCACAAGAGCATGCCATTCCTCCAATAGTTCATTATCCTCCTTATTATTATTGATCTCTTGAAAAATTTGATCAGATATTAATGATTTATTATCCTGAGTTGCAGTAGTACAATTTATTTTAAGTTTATTCTTGACTTTGTGTATAGTAACAAAAATAATAAAATCTTTTCCATTGTAATGAATTTTTATTTTATCGTTATCCCAGTCTATAGCACATTTATATTTTTTAGGAACTCGAACAACTACAAAATCTTCACGTATAATAAAACCAAAAGAGAATATTATTGGAAAATTATGAGCAATATCAATAGATTCTGTTGAAACTGTAGCAATCCACTAAGATTATATTTTTCTAATTTATTAATTGGTCAATTTATACATTTAACAATATCTTCTAATACAATTATAAGTTCAATGCCACTATCTAGTACCAATACAGAAATTTTAAGACATTTTATCTTAACTGATATAGTTGCAATACTAATCATCAGTTCTTTTCAATAAACAAAATCAATATTTATAGGATCATTTAACATCTCCTCTTTATTATCTGATTCAGATATTTCTGGAACCGGTTTTTGAAAATTTAAGCATGAAGTGCCTTGCTCTGCAGTAAAGTCAGATTCTGCAGGCCCTTTAGAAGCAACTCTTCAAGTTATAGATAAATTCGTATTATATGCTTTGGCATTAGATCCACTATTAATATTTTTTTAATTGTTTTTATAACCTCTAAATTGTTAAATATAGCTAAAATAATTTTTCAAATTTGTGAATCAATAATCATACCTGATTTCTTTTGCATTTTTTGTAAAAAATGTTTCTTTGAACTAGACTTTTTAGGTAATAATTTATTTGATTTAACCTTTCGCTTTACTTTTTTTTAATTTAACAACATTGATAATTTTCATGATTTCAGTCTCAGTTAAATTATTCACAAAATCAGATTCAGATTCAGAACCAAATTCAGAGTTGGAGTCAAAATTGAATTCATTATCAAAAAAGCTAGCATAGAACTCAAAATCTGAATCTTTAGTAACAAGATTAATTCTATTTTTTTTCTTGGATCTGCTTTTATTAGAATGTCTAAACTTGCTTCTTTTTTTATTTTTAGAGCAGTTGTAAGAATTGTGATCCATTTTATCACACTTTAAACATTTGTATTGAGAAGATTTTAAAACAACATATATTATTCAAGCTAATTTTATTCGATTAATATCCAACTTCTCGAATTGTAGTCTCAAATCTTCAACTGAATTATAGTTATAGTTTTTTTTTTTTTTTTTTTTATAGGCAAAGCGCATTACATGCAAGACATTTTTATTAATTCATTAGAATTATTTAGTTATTACATGAAGAATCTGACTAACTATTAGCTAATCTAATCCTAACACCACCTATATTTTACCCAAATACTAACTTACACTTCGTGAGTGTATCCATACTCAGGTTTATGCTATGTCTCCCTACTTGTAAATATAGGGTAAGGAAAATCCTGTCCAACAGTTGAAAAATCTTCCCAGCGGTCTCCTTTTTGGTTTTTATGACCCTACTCTTTCCCACGAATGGGTCACCAATCTGGATTGCGCCAACATCAAGCAGGATAGTGGGGTCCAATCGAATTTCGGAGTCTGCCGATCCAGTTTGGGGTACTAGCTGATTGGGTGCGACTTATCCAGGAAACTAGCCAACTTGAATAGGAAGTTGGTACTACGGAGTCTGCCGTGCCAGGGGGGGTTGTGGGCTTTTACTGGAGTTAGACCAGAAGCCTTTCCTCATGTAACCTTTTCTGCTTCGACCTGTTTTCAGCCCGCGATCGTCAGAAAGACCAGAGGTCCCATCTTTATACAGCCTAACTGAATTTGGATAAGATCTGGATGTTTGAGTACGACACCTGTGGGAAAACCAGTAAACCCACAAATGAAGGATAGATTTTTATGCATTTGCCCCTGTGGGTATTGAACTAGGGACATGCGTTTGAAAACCTGGGAGCACTACCCACTGTGCTATAGACCCACAGGTCTGAATTATAGTTATAGTTTCTTTAGGTAAACCTGAATCATTTATTAAATTTTTTAAAAAATAATCTATAGTAAAATTATTAACTTTTCATTTTCTTGGTTCAGAAGATTTTTTCAAAGTTTGTTATTCTTTAACAATAGTTCCTTCAAACCTGCTATAATTTTTTTGAAATTATTTTGTGAAAGTATAATCTGATTTTTTTGAGATTTAGAAGAGATAGTTTGTGAAATGGGATGAGATTACTTAGATAACATTATAGATTTTATCAAGTTTCTGACTTCAGTTTCAGTTATACCCATATTGCCTGTTATATAAGAATCTTTTGTGTTATTTTTAGATTATAATTGAAAAATAATAGAGTGAGATCCAGGATTATACTAACTCAATATCATTTCAGCCTTCTGTTTTTCAATTTCTTCTAATTTTGATAGTAAAACAGAAATTGGATATTTGAGACCAATACATCTTACTTCTATTTTGTTATCAGGAGAAAAGTCTTAAAAGAATTTGTTGTCTATTTCTTTTTGATTTAATGCTGGAAGTGTTGAATAGATAAGACCAACCATTCTTTTCAATTTTGCATGAAAATGATCTATAAAATCAGTACCTTGAGTAATGTTATGGAATATCCCTTTTGATTTTTCAGCAGTTATTATAGGATAATTAATTTTAAATCAATATAGTACCTGTCTGATATGAATTCCTAAAGCTATAGTATTATCTCCTGTATTAGTATTGGAAGCATTTGGAACTATATTTGTTGGTTGTTCATCAGATATCAACCAGTTTTCATCAAAAACAGTATGCACTGGTACTAATAATATGCAATTACATTATTATTGGCTGAAACAATATTTCTTATTTGAAAAACTCAGCCTCTAAACTAATTGACATTAATAGTATACAATGCATTATTGTTAGCCAATCCATTGATGGCACCAAGATCTGCAAGACCCGTATTGTCGCTAATATTTTGCAATTTCTAATTTTTATTCTTGAGATAAGTTTTATATTAATCTTTTGTATCATTTCTTAAACAAGTTTCAAAAAATCCATGATATGAATCCTTACTCTGGTTCGAGCATTTATAAGTGGATCAATTCCAGATGCTTTACAGTATTGTTTAAAATCTTTAATCCATTCTTCAGAATCTTTTCCAACTTTTCTATAAAATAGGAATGATATATATCCTGCCATTCCTCTATATTGGTTATTTATAGGTAGATTATTCTAAAGCATAAAAATTTATTGATTCAAATTTAAAATTAATTGCTATGAATTACACTTTCTATTTTTTCACTTAATATGACTTGCCTTCGGATTCTTAAATTTATTGTAATATTATCAAAGAGCCAAACTTGATTATATTCTAATAATCCTTTATCAGTCCAGCATTGTTGTAGCTTCTGTTCTAAGCAATAAATAAATATCTTATAAATAATTTCAAAAATATATTTGAGTTTTGATTGTTTATCCCATATCAAACTTGTATTAAACCACAAATACCCTTGCAAATTATATTTTTATTGACTGTTATTAAGATTTCAAGTAAGTTGATTAACATGATTCTGCAAGGTATTTTGTTCTGGTATAAGTTGATTGACATAGTTTTGCAAGGTATCTTGCTCTGGTATAAGTTGATTAATATAATTTTGTAAGGTATCTTACTCCCGAATAAGCTGATTAACTTGATTTTGGAGATTAGTATTTTGCTCTCTAAAATAATTAATATCTTGTTGCAACTGCAATACTTGATTATTCTGATTATCTCGTTGGATTATAACACCATCTATATTCTGATATGTGTTTTGATAATTAAGACGGACAGCATTCAAAGAGCCTCTAATGTCATTTATAATATTAATAGGATTATTTAATGAAGTACCAGCATCTCGGATGTGATTTTCAATTTGAGTCAAGCTTCGATCAATTTGTATAAAAAGGTCAAGATTCACCATATCTGTATTTTCTTCTGAATTATATAAACTTGGAGAGTTTCTTCTCGAAGAAATAACTTTGAATCTATGCCTTAAATTTTGAATCCACTTTTTTGATTCTTGTAATTGCTTCTATATACTATTGACATAAAATATCTTGTCTCGAACCTCCTTTTTAGCTTGATATAAGCTTTTTTTAAGGGATGATATTTCCAATCTCAACTCCACCTTTTCTTTCTCCAAAGCATTCTCAAGCCATTCCAGTTTTTTATTGAGAAATTGAATTTCATTCTCACACTGGGTATATTTACATTCCAGATCCTTTATATATTTCTCATTCGACTTGTTGATGGCTAAAATTATCCGCAAAAATCTGAGTCATCTTGCACTATTTTGAGATGCAGGAAGCTGAGATGACATTCATAGAATCGTGTGACAATATACGGATAATCCAAAAAAAGCATCTAAGATTATTGATAAGCATTTGCGGGACTGTGAATTCGTGGTTTTTGATTTTACTAAGGCTGTAGACGATCCTTTAGCAATTAGACTGGGCTGGAATACCCCATTAAAATTAGATGAATAAAGCATGATATCCCACCTTCTCATGACTTCATCACTCAAAGCCAGATATTATAGTTAACAATATATTATTTTCAATCAATTAATTATATATCTTTTTTCGAATTTGAGAGAAAAAAGAAAATAAACATGACCCACCCTCTTATTATTTCAGAGTTGCTCGAAAACATATTCAGTGTCTTAGCCAAGGATAAAGTACTCTATCCTGCTTTATTTGTCAATCGCCTTTGGTATCACTGCAGTGCTCCAATTCTATGGAGACATATTGAGTTTTCCATAGAAGGTTATTGGCAGAACCGATGTAATAAAAATATATCTGAACCTCTTTATTAACAATTAAGAAAGTTTAAAAGAGTTATATGCGAAAAGATGGTGTATCTCAAATTTGCGAGTTTAAAAATCTTGGATGCATTACTTCGTGAAATTTTGTGCTTATGCCCGAATATAAACTTTCTTATTCTTGATCGAAGTTATGGTTTTAGTAATATACCAATTATAGAAGTTGCAAAATATTGTCTGAAGCTACTACATCTGAGTCTTGATGCGTGTACAGCTATTACTGATAGATGCATTAGTGAAATAACACAATCTTATCCAAATTTAAAATACATAAGTCTCACTTTTTTGTATAGAAATAGTAACATTTCCAGTGCATCTGTGATTGAAATAGCATGATCTTGTTCCAATCTAGTATATTTAAACCTCAATGGACAACCTTCTATTAATGATGAATCAATGTGTGATTGCAACTGGCTGTCTAGATATGCGAAATTATTTTCTTGAAGGCTGTGAACGGATAACTGATAAATCAATCAAAAAAACTGCACAGTTAAATCGAAACCTGCAAAAGCTTATTCTCACTTCCTGTTACAAAATTACAAATGATGCTGTATGTAATGTAGTCCATTCATGTTCAAACATTCAGAATCTTAGTTTCAATATATTTATATTACTGATAAAACGATATATGAAATTGCACATCACTGTTCAAATTTATTAGTTCTCAATACAAATAAATGTCTATTATTTCTGATGAATCAATCTACTATCTATTAAGCAAAAAACCAACACTAGAGCTAATATAGGTTAGGATAAAATCGCATTTATATGGTTAGTTTGATAATCGAATATTTTTTCAGTTGTAATTTTATTCTATTAATATTAATACATCCTATCTGCCACTTATATTTTTGAGCTGACCGAATCCTGCCATGTTTGAAGTTAGAGTGGATGTGAAATAATAACAAGCGCAATCTATTATTGTCACTAGAGATTTTTGTGTCAGATGAAAACAGGTTGATATATAAAAATTAAGGTAAAAAAATATTACCAGCTTTGCTCTAGGAAAAATAATGAAATAGAGTCTAAAGTACTACATTCTGCATCTACTTTTCTGACTTCGAGTGATAGAGTCGTGAGAAGACAGGATTAATAAATCGAATAAATTGATATATGTTAAGCTATCATATTGTTAATTTGACGTATTTCCCATAAACTGCTTATAATAATTTATTCGATTCTAATAAATGGTGGGTATTTATTATTAATATATAATTTAGGATTTTGCATCCACTTTAACATTACATACCATTGCTTACTATCGATTACTCTGTATTCTTGTTGTCCTAATAAATTTAAAACATGTTTATATAATCTATCTCGTAATAGATATTTCTTAGCATCTGCCCAACTTTTAGGACTATAATGATAAAACATTTCAGGTAAATTTCGAGCATATGCTGGTACATCTTTAGTCAGAATCATTCTTCCACCATAGCCAACATAAGAAGTTTCAGGAACTCTTATTTTTTGAGGAGTTATACCTAAAAACTTCTTGTTCTCAGAAGTATCATCATTTCTGATTGCTTCCCAGATTCTATTGGATTTTGATTCGGGCTTTTGCTGATAATTTCGATAAGCGGTTTGTATAATTCTTGCATATTCATCTCGAGATTTAGGTTTATCACACTCGTGATCCCAATGTTTTCACATCAAATCATCTGGCTTAATAATTTCGATATACCTTTTCTAGTGAAATAAAATGATTTCTTTGATTGTATGCCATCAATTTTCATAAGTTTCCAGCAATCGAAGCAAATAGCCATACTACTTTTATGGATTCTTGGTCTATAATAATTGAAATTAACAAATTTACCTTTACCAAACGATACGAATAAATATAGCCGGTAGTATACACTAAATTTCCCAGCATTTAATAGATTCTGTAAAGGTATTCTGACCCGTATTGCCTATTGAACCGGTGTTTCATTCTGTTTTATAATAGATAATATATCAAATAATCTCTCATTATAGAAGAGTTCATCATATTATTTTCTATCAAAAGCAAAATAATTTCCAATATATGACACGACATATTTCATATTATATCCAGGACAAATGTTAAAGGGTTTGGGTAATGTTCTGTCTTTCTTATCGAGAATAGTTTTAATATCAAAACCAGTCATATTTTATCACTTATATATATGATTAAAACCAGATTCATTTTTAATGCGGATGCTCGAAGATCATCCCATAGGGCCTGGGTTATTAAATGAAATGTGTATACTGTAATCGTCATATTTTGCGAGTGAAATAATGGGAGAGATCCATATATTATGATCTATTTTTGACACGAATCTATTTCAGGTATACTAATTAATTTTTGTGTGGCTTAATACTCTATTATATACCAGGTAACCGAATATTAGAAATATTTTAGTTAATTATATCTTGAAGTATCACCTTTTTTCAAACTTGAGAGAAAAAAGAAAAAAAAGTATGAGAGTATGGATGAGATTGCTTTCCTGGCATACAAGTGAAATTTTGAGGCTAAAATGAAAGTTCCTACCACTCTGCATAAAAAAAAACTGAAAAATAAATCTTTAACCCTTATTAAATATGCATAATTGTTATAAATGTTTCAGCAAATCAGGTAAAAGTGCCAAGACATTATCATCTAGTTAAGTAGTAATTTCTGGAGAAGAAAGATTATTACATTTGGCTAGTTATATATAGGGCTCCAAAAAGTACTGAATTGATATTGAAGTGGTATCAAAATGGTACCAATCTATAGTAAATTTAATATATGGGTTGTGATCCACTCATATGAATTTATAGTAAATTAAGTATTGAACTAATATTGAAGTGATATTAAAGTAATATCATTAAGAGCCCTAGTTATATATCTGGATAAAAGGATTTTTGCACCTTTTATAATAAGTATGCAGAAAAATTCAAATCAAAAAATAATACTTTAATATCTAAATTAAAAATTCCAAAATAAAAGTGGTTATGTTTTGAAAAAAATGCATACATAATATATGTATCAGGAGTTGATAATCATTTTTGTATTGCCTATTTTAGATATTAATAAAAATAATACTTTAAGGTATTACAGAGAAGGGACAAAAGTTTTCAAATAATTTTTTAAATCCTAATTTATTCATGTTTCTATAATAAATAAAGCTATATTTAACACATAAATTAACTATACAGTAGACTGATATATAATTACTAATAAATGTGAAGTTATATATAAGGTTATATACAAAGTATATTAAAGTATATTTTATATGATTAGCCTTTATAAATTAAGTTGTAATATGATTATTAAAGTCTTCAAAAAATTTTTTTTCCTATTTTTATGTTATATACAGAGGGTGATCACAGGTATCGGAA